TGACAGGTTGTATGATTGTACAACGCCGTTAGGGTATTGCTTATTAAATAGACTCTATATCACCAGAAGCAACCATGATAGGTTGTATGATTGTACAACGCCGTTAGGGTATTGCTTATTAAATAGACTCTATATCACCAGAAGCAACCATGACAGGTTGTATGATTGTACAACGCCGTTAGGGTATTGCTTATTAAATAGACTCTATATCACCAGAAGCAACCATGACAGGTTGTATGATTGTACAACGCCGTTAGGGAATTGCTTATTAAATAGACTCTATATCACCAGAAGCAACCATGACAGGTTGTATGATTGTACAACACCGTTAGGGAATTGCTTATTGAATAGACTCTATATCACCAGAAGCAACCATGACAGGTTGTATGATTGTACAACGCCGTTAGGAAATTGCTTATTGAATAGACTCTATATCACCAGAAGCAACCATGACAGGTTGTATGATTGTACAACGCCGTTAGGGTATTGCTTATTAAACAGACTCTATATCACCAGAAGCAACCATGATAGGTTGTATGATTGTACAACGCCGTTAGGGAATTGCTTATTAAATAGACTCTATATCACCAGAAGCAACCATGACAGGTTGTATGATTGTACAACGCCGTTAGGGTATTGCTTATTAAATAGACTCTATATCACCAGAAGCAACCATGTCAGGTTGTATGATTGTACAACGCCGTTAGGGTATTGCTTATTAAATAGACTCTATATCACCAGAAGCAACCATGATAGGTTGTATGAATGTAATAACATGCGAGTGTTTAACCTAGTTGTTGAAATGCCAGATGTATTCTACATTAAAACATCCATGTGTGGGAGCAAGCATCGGGTAACATCTGTCTTACTTAGTAAGAAGTTGTGCCCAAGCTTCACGTTACACAAACTCCAATAGAGCATCTCCTATTTCACAGTTAACTTTATACTAGATGTAATTTCACCATTATTGCAGTACAAAGTGGCTAAGGCTATTGTCGCCTTTGTCAGATCAGACACACGTGGAGCAAAGGAATGAATGAAACACAAGGGCACATCTCATGTAGTCAAGGACGCCTCTTGTCTGTGAATGCGACCCCCCTCACACAGAAAAGTGCAGGGTCAACTCCACATGTCCCCCACATGTAAACTGTAACATTTCCCTTGTTAACACATTGAAAGAAACACCAGCAGGAGAAATGTTGACAATCCGAGCCTATTCCCTTCCCCTCCGTTGTCATAGAGGGCTCTCCCCTGTAGAAAGTGATACTTCCACTCCGTTGTCATAGAGGGCTCTTCACTGTAGTAAGTGATACTTCCACTTCGTTGTCTTACAGGGCTCTTCACTGTAGTAAGTGATACTTCCCCTCCGTTGTCATAGAGGGCTCTCCCGTGTAGTAAGTGATACTTCCACTTCGTTGACTTAGAGGGCTTTTCACTGTAGTAAGTGATACTTCCGCTCTGTTTTCATAGAGGGCTCTCCCCTGTAGTAAGTAATACTTCCACTCTGTTGTCATAGAGGGCTCTTCACTGTAGTAAGTAATACTTCCACTCCGTTGTCATAGAGGGCTCTCCACTGTAGTAAGTAATACTTCCACTCCGTTGTCATAGAGGACTCTTCACTGTAGTAAGTAATACTTCCACTCCGTTGTCATAGAGGGCTCTTCCCTGTAGTAAGTAATACTTCCACTCCGTTGTCATAGAGGGCTCTTCACTGTAGTAAGTGATACTCCACCTGTTGTCATAGAGGGCTCTCCCGTTTCACTGTAGTAAGTAATACTTCCACTCCGTTGTCATAGAGGACTCTCCTCTGTAGTAAGTAATACTTCCACCCGTTGTCACAGAGGGCTCTCCCCCTTGTTGTCAGGGCTCTGTAGTAAATTCAGAGGGCTCTCCCTGTAGTAAGTAATACTTCCACTCCGTTGTCATAGAGGGCTCTTCACTGTAGTAAGTAATACTTCCACTCCGTTGTCATAGAGGGCTCTTCACTGTAGTAACTAATGCTTCCACTCCGTTGTCATAGAGGACTCTCCTCTGTAGTAAGTAATACTTCCACTCCGTTGTCATAGAGGGCTCTCCCCTGTAGTAAGTAATACTTCCACTCCGTTGTCATAGAGGGCTCTTCACTGTAGTAAGTAATACCTCCACTCCGTTGTCATAGAGGGCTCTTCACTGTAGTAAGTAATACTTCCCCTCCGTTGTCATACAGCGATCTTTACTGTAGTAAGTGATACTTCCACTCCGTTGTCATAGAGGGCTCTTCACTGTAGTAAGTAATACTTCCACTCCGTTGTCATAGAGGGCTCTTCACTGTAGTAAGTAATACTTCCCACCGTCTTGTCAGTAAGTAATACTTCCACTTTACTGTAGTAAGTAAGTATACTTCCACTCCGTTGTCATAGAGGGCTCTCCCCCTGTAGTAAGTAATACTTCCACTCTGTTGTCATAGAGGGCTCTTCACTGTAGTAAGTACTCCGTTGTCCTCCACTCTACTACTCCCTCTTGTCATAGAGGCTCTTCACTGTAGTAAGTAATACTTCCTCCGTTGTCATAGAGGGGACTTCCCTCTTCACTTACTGTAGTAGGTAGCTCTTCACTGTATATGCTCCCCTCCGTTGTCATAAGTGGCACTCTTCAAAGACTGTCAGTAGTAAGTAATACTTCCACTCCGTTGTCATAGAGGGCTCTTCACTGTAGTAAGTAATACTTCCACTCCGTTGTCATAGAGGGCTCTTCACTGTAGTAAGTAATACTTCCACTCCGTTGTCATAGAGGACTCTCCCCCCTCCCACTCCGTTGTAGTGTAGTAAGTAATACTTCCCTGTAGTAAGAGGTAATACTTCCACTCCGTTGTCAGTAGAGTAATACCTCCACTCCGTTGTCATAGAGAGCTCTTCACTGTAGTAAATAATACTTCCCCTCCGTTGTCATACAGCGATCTTCACTGTAGTAAGTAATACTTCCAATCCCTTGTCATAGAGGGCTCTTCACTGTAGTAAGTAATACTTCCAATCCCTTGTCATAGAGGGCTGCTGATGTAGGGACCATACCTGAGTGTGTTGTAAGAATCAGTTCCATTCAGCTGACAAAGCAAATGCGAAGCTAAATATGTGGACAGTCATTTGTACATCTGCAGAAGTGGTTGACGAGAAACACACATTAGAAGCTTCATCATTCGGTTTGAAACAGACTCTTTGCATCGTTATCCTCGCTGCGCATCATGTTTACATTGTAGAGTGCTTGGCTATGGGAAATGCAGCACAAAACATCCCACAGCTCTCACTGAGGACAGTCAGGGGAGACTGATGGGTCTGTGATTGTGATTGATCACTCTCAGGGCATCACTGACTTAATTTGCCATACCCACCAGCACTCGCTCCAGGAAGATGAGATAATATTTGTAAATCTACAAGCCCAGTAGGATAATGTTTTGAAAATAAGGCTTTATTTTGATTTCCGTTAGATAGAGGAATTGGCCCATTACATGACCGCGTGATCAATGAGGTGTCACAGATGTTGGAAAAACAGCCTCTGGGTGAATAATGTTCAAATCTATATATAACCGAATGATTTCGAAGTTCGCCATGTTAATCTCGACATTTGCACACTTGAAAACATAGGACATGCCTCCAGAATGCATGTGGTTTTAAGGTTGGGTATTGATGGGGGTTTACCACCCCACGTCACTCACACGGATGGGGGATGGGGTTGATGGGTAGTTGATGGTGGAGGGTGGTGACTGTTATGGGTAGTGAGGGTGTGGAGGGTGGTGACTGTTATGGGTAGTGAGGGTGTGGAGGGTGGCGATTGTTATGGGTAGTGAGGGTGTGGAGGGTGGTGACTTTTATGGGTAGTGAGGGTGTGGAGGTGAGGGTGTGGAGGGTGGCGACTGTTATTGGCATTGGGGGTGTGGAGGGTGGTGACTGTTATGGGTAGTGAGGGTGTGGAGGGTGACGACTGTTATGGGTAGTGAGGGTGTGGAGGGTGGTGACTGTTATGGGTTGTGAGGGTGTGGAGGGTGGCGACTTATGGGTAGTGAGGGTGTGGAGAGTGGCGACTGTTATGGCTTGTGAGGGTGTGGAGGGTGGCTACTGTTATGACTTGTGAGGGTGTGGAGGGTGGTGACTGTTATGGGTAGTGAGGGTGTGAAGGGTGGTGACTGTTATGGCGTGCAGAGTGGCGACTTTTATGGGTAGTGAGGGTGTGGAGAGTGGCGACTGTTATGGGTAGTGAGGGTGTGGAGGGTGGTGACTGTTATGGCGTGCAGAGTGGCGACTTTTATGGGTAGTGAGGGTGTAGAGAGTGGCGACTTTTATGGGTAGTGAGGGTGTAGAGAGTGGCGACTGTTATGGGTAGTGAGGGTGTAGAGAGTGGCGACTGTTATGGGTAGTGAGGGTGTAGAGGGTGGTGACTGTTATGGGTAGTGAGGGTGTAGAAAGTGGCGACTGTTATGGGTAGTGAGGGTGTAGAGGGTGGTGACTGTTATGGGTAGTGAGGGTGTGGTGTTTTTAAGTTATGAATCTTGATATTTTCTCTGCCTGTCTATAGAGTTGTGCGGAAAGTACAATGGACCAACAAAGTCATGTTTTTGCATATCCTATTTCAGTTTTGTCTGATTGGTTTTAGTCTTGACGTATGACCTGTGTATGGTAAATACAGGATCTCACTCGAGTGTCCTTTGATATCAAATATATCACCACGAGTTGATAAAGTTACAAATATCCCTGGCTTGCCGAGGATATTTTTACATTTATCAACGAGCATTGTGACGTCATCAAGTTCATGACGTCGTAGCATTGTCAGGGCATTGTACAAAATCTACTGTCAAAATGATGATGTCTCCTTGGAGACATCATTTCATCTCACACAAGCAATATTTCCTGTGAACACAGTTTTGGATGATAAAGCATGCTATGCCTTCACCTATATATGTGTCAGCCATCCGACATCGTTTGCAAACTGATCCAAACTGATGAAGCTCTTTTCTTTTCTTTTTGTTTCAGATCTTTGACTGTGACTTCCTGTCGAAGACGGTGAAATATGTTCACAATGGATCTCCGCTGCTGTATGCTGACGAAGTGAAGCTGCGAGCTCACCGCTTTACACAGACGAGTACTGTCACGGAAACCTTCTACCTGCGAGTTCGGATAGTGAATGCCTCCCACGAGGTCATAGTGACTAGAGGTCTCAGGCCTGTGGTTGTTCCCAAATTCAATGGATTATCCAATACGATAGATGCTTCAGTTATCCGATTCCGGAACAGTGATAATCACAATGTGTCGTGCACAGTTGGTTTTTCCAAGTACCACTCCCACTGGCCCCTGGTAGGACAGATGGTCATGGGAGAGGACCGACATGCTGTTGATGCTGTAAAAAAGATTGCCGCGAATTTCTCTTCATGCAGCTCCACTACGAGCATCTGCGATCTCCAACACCTGACGTGGATTACCTCCCTTTAACCGTGGAAATATTTGATCCAATGCGCAGTGATGAACTGGTGTCAGAAAATTTTTATCTTCCAATTTACATCAAAGGTGCTTTACCTAATTCTCCTCCCAAAAATAAGATGAGCAGCATGAACATGATGGATGTGGATCAGTTCATTCTCACAACAATCATTCCGGGCGTCATATCTGCAGAGGACTACGAGACTCCCAGTAACCAGCTGGTGTACAACATATCGAGAGCGTTCCCCCAAGGGCACGGATGCCTTGTGAAGCGAGGCGACCACGCCACACCAATCACATCATTCTTGCAGGACGACCTGGAGAACCACAGAATTGCCTACCGACCGCCGAATGTTAGTTTCTCGGAGCGGCGAATGTACGAGGTAGAGTTCACTGTGTACGACAGCCACTTCAGCAATAGCATGCCCCTGAGGTTCCACGTGGCGGTTCACCCCTCGTCCACCAATGCTCCAAGGGTGGCACACAACCTGGGACTGGTCCTTCTGGAAGGTCAGTCCAGAGCAATCTCAACAGACATCTTGCAAATTGTTGACCGAGACAACCTAGACAGAGTGAAACTGTATGTGAAAGGGGGATTGCAATATGGAAATATCGAGGTTCATGGCAGTCAGTCAATTGTTTTCAGACCGACTGATTTGTTGAACGGTGGAGTGGTATATCATCATGACGATAGTGATTCAACCAAAGATCGTATAGAACTACGTCTAAGTGACGGCTCCAACACCGTCCTCTTCACCTTCCCCATAAGCATCATTCCCAAGGACGACACACCGCCTCACCTCATCAACAACCTCGGTCTGCAGATCAACGAAGGCGATATGAAGAAGATCAGTGAAGATCTTCTTCTGGCCCACGACACGGATTCCTTGGACTCCAACATTATCTACACCATCCTCGCCACACCGAAGACTGGAGACATCATTAGGAAGGTGAGGCCGTCGGACTCAGGTACCAAGATATTTGGATTCCGACAACGTGACCTCCTGAAAGGTCAGATCTACTACAGGCATTCTGGAAGAGAGGAGTTCAGGGACTCCTTCCGGTTTACGCTCCAGGATCAACAAGAGCCACCAAACGAGTCGGAGCAATTCGTGTTCCACATCCTCATCAACCCCATGAACGAAAACCCTCCTCGTCTGGCCTTAGAAGCAACTCGTCTGTTGTTTGTTCCTGAGACGGACATCGCCTACCTCAGCAGCACGGAGCTCCAGTACACAGACGTGGAGTCTGAAGACAGACAACTGACCTTCACCGTCACAACCCCGCCATATTTTGTGTACAATCGTGGAGAGCGAGACGCAGGGCGCCTCATCTCCACCCACAACCTGACGATGATGATGAAGGATGGTTCCACTGCTTCAGCACAGACCTTCAGCCAGGAGGACATCAACCACATGAAAATAGCTTACATGCCGCCCATGAACGACATCGGCGCAGAGTCTCGACTCATCAGGTTTGTGTACACTGTGGAAGACTCCAGTAGGAACAGACTGTACGGCCAGACATTTGACATCGAGGTCCTTCCTGTCAACAACCGTGTTCCGCAGTTTGTTACCTCCAAGCTGCTGGTGGAGGAGGGGGGTATCCTCAGTATTACATCCAATCAGCTGTCTGCCAATGATGTGGATACGTCTCAGGAGAAGTTGCGCTTCATGCTGGATGCGTTACCACGGTATGGCATCCTCCAGAAGGGGGGCATCGCACTGAGGAGGGGAGAAGGGTTCAACATTGCGGACTTGGAGAAAAAGGATATCAGGTATTAACTCATTTAGTTAAACATTGCAAACTGAGTAGGATCCCTTTCACCGCCACAGTGTGATCATGTCTGTAAATGACGGAGCAGGTTAGTGGACGTAATTCTTCAGTTAGGTGTCCAGGTTTTAGCAACTGTCCAACAAACGACTGGCAACAGTATGACCATGATATGTGTAGAAATTACGTATGTGTGCATTATACACTGCCTCAGTCATTGGCATGGACATACAGAAAACAAGGGAACACCAACTTACCGCCAGGTAGGCATTATAGTCTCTTCATGTGCGCTGTATGCTCCCTCTGATGAGCTGACGTCCCAACAGGAAATAGATGCATGCAAGGCAAACATTTACATGAAAACCAAGTCATTCCTCCATGCCGGGGATGTTATAGAAATATGATTGGCTGAAAAAGCCAGGTTTGTTGTCTGCGGGAAGGCAACGTGTGATGTAACTGGCACTGTAGGATAGGCTTGAATAATGCGCAGATGTGCAACTCTCTGGTGTCAGCTAGACAAAAACACAGGACATCTTAGCACTCTCCAATACCAGAAAGAACATTAGTTGATATGCCAGTCTCCTCGGGATGTTTGTGTGAGATTGTCTTGGTACCAGTGAAACATCTTAAAAAGTGTGTTGTGTAATCCTGGTTGATTGTATCTGTGATGTGGGAGACCACACAGAGACAGGTGGTTTGCGGTGGCTGTCGGGAACAGCACATACCAGCAGCCCCATCTACTTCATGAAGAAGCAGTTGATGGAATGCCACTTATATCAATACATCCGACGTGTAGATGTTAAGTGTTTTAATGCTATGATGTCTCTTAGACTGCTACAGTTAACCCTTTCAACAACGGCCGTTTGTCATAAACAATGCTAAAGTTCACCTGCATTATAATCCCACTGTGATGGGGTTAATTGTTCCGTGATAATGTGAAGAGAGTGAGTTACAAGCTATATGACACCATTTTTAAACGGCACAAATGTACGAGTGTCTCCATAGGGGTGGAGGACAGGTGTGTTTAGATATTAAATGGGGCTGTGGCTAGTGTCGCCATAGGGGTGGGGGACAGGCATCTTTAGATATTAAATGGGTCTGTGGCTAGTGTCTCCATAGGGGTGGGGGACAGGTGTCTTTAGATATGAAATGGGTCTGTGGCTAGTGTCTCCATAGGGGTGGAGGACAGGTGTCTTTAGATATGAAATGGGGCTGTGGCTAGTGTCTCCATAGGGGTGGGGGACAGGTGTCTTTAGATATTAAATGGGTCTGTGGCTAGTGTCTCCATAGGGGTGGCGGACAGGTGTCTTTAGATATGAAATGGGTCTGTGGCTAGTGTCTCCATAGGGGTGGGGGACACGTGTCTTTAGATATGAAATGGGGCTGTGGCTAGTGTCTCCATAAGGGTGGGGCACAGGTGTCTTTAGATATTAAATGGGGTTGTGGCTAGTGTCGCCATAGGGGTCGGGGACAGGCATCTTTAGATATGAAATGGGTCTGTGGCTAGTGTCTCCATAGGGGTGCGGGGCAGGTGTCTTTAGATATGAAATGGGGCTGTGGCTAGTGTCTCCATAGGGGTGGAGGACAGGTGTCTTTAGATATGAAATGGGGCTGTGGCTAGTGTCTCCATAGGGGTGGAGGACAGGTGTCTTTAGATATGAAATGGGTCTGTGGCTAGTGTCTCCATAGGGGTGGGGAACAGGTGTCTTTAGATATGAAATGGGTCTGTGGCTAGTGTCTCCATAGGGGTGGGGACAGGTGTCTTTAGATATGAAATGGGTCTGTGGCTAGTGTCTCCAGGGGGGTGGGAGGACAGGTGTCTTTAGATATGAAATGGGGCTGTGGCTAGTGTCTCCATAGGGGGGTGGGGACAGGTGTCTTTAGATATGAAATGGGTCTGTGGCTAGTGTCTCCATAAGGGTGGGTCTGGACAGGTGTCTTTAGATATGAAATGGGTCTGTGGCTAGTGTCGCCATAGGGTGGGGGACAGGTGTCTTTAGATATGAAATGGGTCTGTGGCTAGTGTCTCCATAGGGGTGGGGGACAGGTGTCTTTAGATATGAAATGGGTCTGTGGCTAGTGTCTCCATAGGGTGGGGACAGGTGTCTTTAGATATGAAATGGGGCTGTGGCTAGTGTCTCCATAGGGGTGGGGGACAGGTGTCTTTAGATATGAAATGGGTCTGTGGCTAGTGTCTCCATAGGGGTGGGGGACAGGTGTCTTTAGATATGAAATGGGGCTGTGGCTAGTGTCTCCATAGGGGTTGGGGACAGGTGTCTTTAGATATGAAATGGGGCTGTGGCTAGTGTCTCCAGATAGTACATGTGGTGAGGGGCAGGGCAGCCTGTCAGTGGTGGTGTAACCTTGCTGTCAGGAACACCACGACATGGCGACGGCACAATCTTCATCCAGGGATCCCAAGAAAACTGCAGATAATTAGCCCTGTTCTCCGACGACATATTGACATTATTGACTTTAAGGCCCACAAGATTGTTTCAAACAATTTCATGCCTAATTAGAAGCAGTCTCCTTTGTTTAACTGCCAGACGAATAAACTCACGATATGGAAGATTGCAGTGGAAACAGGTTTCGCTCCTACAAGTCTACATAGCTGTCTCAAACATGATAGAAGTACGATGCTGTAGCTGACTAAAGCGACAAGCTGACAAAGCAACAGGTTAATGTGGTATTGTAAGGCCAAGTTGGGTAAGGGCGTGTCAAGTAAAGGGGATTGTGCTGTTTGACATATGATTCGTTTACGGGTTTTAGGCTATTGGATGCAGTTAGTGAATGTGTTGGATGCAGACAGTGAATGTGTTGGATACAGATAGTTAATGTGTTGGATACAGTTAGAAACGTGTTGGATGCAGTTAGTGACGTGTTGGATGCAGTTAGTGAATGTGTTGGATGCAGTTAGTAAATGTGCTGGATGCAGTTAGTGACATGTTGGATGCAGTTAGTGACGTGTTGGATGCAGTTAGTGAATGTGTTGGATGCAGTTAGTAAATGTGTTGGATGCAGTTAGTGACATGTTGGATGCAGTTAGTGACGTGTTGGAAGTAGTTAGAAAATGTGTTGGATCTAGTAAGTAAATGTGTTGGATGCAGTTAGTGACGTGTTGGATGTAGTTAGTGAATGTGTTGGTTGCAGTTAGTGACATGCTTGGTGCAGATAGTGACGTGTTGGATGCAGTTAGTGACGTGTTGGATGCAGTTAGTGACATGTTGGATGCAGATAGTGACATGGTGCAGAGGGTGACGTTTTGGACGCAGATAGTGATATGTTGGATGCAATTAGAGAAGTGTTGGGTGCAGTCTGTGACGTGTTTGGATCAGTTAGTGACATGTTAGGGACAGTTAGTGACGTGTTTTGGTCAGTTAGTGACGTGCTGCATGACACAGTTAGTGACGTGTTAGGTGCAGTTAATGACGTGTTGGATGCAGGCAGTTTCGTGGTGGAGACAGTTAGTTAAGTGTTCGGGGTAGTTAGTGACGTGTTGGGGCAGTGTATAGTGTATGGTATATAGATAATTCTTCGTTTCACCGTGTTCTTGCGTTCATTTGCAAGAGTAGTCAGTATCCAGTTATGATGAACAGTTTACCCTGTTCGAGTCCAACATTGGTCCTCCTGGGGCATACCGACCGTCACATGCCGACTCCTTGTTTTGTGACTGCTGTTCAGGTTATTTTCTCAGTTAGTTGGAAGTCGTGCAGAAGTAGAGTATCAGGGAGACAGGTTATAATTACCGTGCAGGCGGTGGGTCTGTTTCCTGAATCGTCTGGGTTGGCTGGTTGTGCGAGGGGTTCAGATATATTATACGTGTGCTTCCTTTCTATGAGCCTGTATCTAGCTACTTGGAGGAAAAGAGTATTGTGTACTTTTAGAGCAAAGTGATATCATTATTGCTTTTGCTGTTTTGATTGTGATACATATTAAAACGTGTAGGGTATATACATTAGACACGTGACGTCTTTTACAGAGTGCTGGTCAGACAAAACTTTTGATAAAATTACATAGTGCGATTTCTTACTCAAATATAAAACATGTTCGATGTATCATTGCCGTGTAGTAGTTGTCCCTCGAGAAAGAAAACCAGCAAGTTCTGTTTATGGTTTCAGGTACGTGCATGATGGGTCCGAGTATATCCTGGATACTTTCACTCTGAGCGTATCCGACGGCCTCAACTCTGCCACTAAGGTCATCTCCATCGACATTGTCCCAATTGATGACGAGACTCCACAAATGACCAACAATCTCCGTCCCTTCCTCATAGTCTCAGAAGGCGGAGACGCCATTGTGACGCAGAGGACATTGTCCGCCACCGACGTCGACACAGACGAGTCGTCCCTGGTGTTCCTGATCGTACGACAACCTAAATATGGCATCCTCCAACTGGAGTCACAGCCGGTGACAAAGTTCACACAGACCCATGTGAAGGAAGGCAAGGTGAGCTACCTGCACACCAGCGGAGAGATTGGGATTGCGAAGATTCACGACGTTGTTACGTTCATTGTGTCGGATCAAAACTTCCTCCCGTCAGCCGACATGCCGATGTATGATCTTAATATCACAGTCACCCCCGTCAACAACCAAAAGCCAACGATCAACTTAGGGAATCCTGTGTTTGTGTCTGAAGGCGAGATCTTTAAGATCACCAGCGACATCCTCAGTGTGTCTGACCCTGACTCCAGGACAAAGGACATTGAGTTGATGATCACCAAACAACCTCAGTGGGGCTTTCTGGAAAACACTAAGCCGAGTCCAGGGTCGGAACGAAGCAATGCTGGAGTCCGCATTAACATGTTCAAGTTCCGAGACGTTCTGGACGGCTCAATCAACTACGTGCAAGCCAACCACAAGGGCGTGGAGCCAGTGAGAGATGAGTTCAGTTTCTACGCTACAGATGGAAAGCTGAACTCACCCACTGAAAACATCGCCATCACAATCGTCCCAGCCAATGATGAGGTTCCAGATCTGATGCTGAGAGACTTTTCGGTTCCTGAAGGAGGCAGCAAGATGATTGACCAGTCAATGGTGGACGCTATTGACCTTGACATGCCCAAGGATTCCCTTGTCCTGACTGTGTCCCAGCGTCCGCAACACGGGAACATGGTCATGATGTTACACACACGCAAAGGGGAGGTGGAAACGGACATCCACGACTTTACAATCGATGAACTCCACAGCGGGATGCAGCTGAAATATGTCCACGATGGATCGGAAACCTACTCCGACAAGTTTGCGGTGACAGTGTCTGATGGAAAGCATGAAATCAAAAGGGTCTGTAATGTCTCCGTCAAACTGAACAATGATGAACGTCCAGAGATAATCAAGAATGCAGGGTTGCACTTAGACTATGGAGAATCTGCACTTATCTCTAGCGTGGTTCTCCAGGCAACGGATGAGGACAATGGAGATGCGCAGCTCTATTACATAATTGTCCAGCTTCCCAAGAAGGGATTCCTCCAGTTCTGCGCAGACCCCTTCTCCAACAACCTCGCAGTGGAATGTCGAGACTTCCAGGAGGGACAGAACTTCACTCAGCATGATGTAGACCAAAATAAGATCCGATACATCCACACAACCAGCATGGGCAGCACTGAGTCAGACAGCTTCATGTTCGTTCTCACCGACAACAGATACAAGCGACCCGAGGAGACGTTTGAGATCCGGATAGCCAATTCAAAGAAAGCCAACATTGCTTTGCTGAACCGCGGGATGGCAGTCCGCGAGGGTGAGCGTGTCGCCATCAGCACGTCCAACTTGAGTGCTTCAGATGAAAGCACCAAAGCAGAGGAGATTGTGTTCGCAGTGATCAGGGCCCCAAGGCTCGGCCAGATTGAGTATATCGACCGCCCATTCAAACCCATCAGTAGCTTTACACAATTAGACATAGCATCTCAGAAGGTTGTGTACAACCACCTGACAAAGAACGACATCATTGAGGACTCCTTCACCTTCACTGTAACAAACGGCCTCAGTGAAGCTAAGGACGGAGAGTTCAGAATCGCCATTCAGCCGCTAGATCAAGTACTACCCACTCTCGTCGCCAATAAACTGCTTGAAGTTCTTCAAGGCACCGAGGAGGTGTTGACCCCATTCCAACTCAAGGTCACTGACCCAGACACGTCAGCCATGAACCTCACGTACGTCATAGCTAAACCTCCAACTTATGGCAAACTGTACAACAGAGGAGTCCCCATCAAGCAGTCCTTCACACAGAATGAAGTAGATCTTGGCTTTGTTACTTACGAGAGTGATGGCAGTCGAGCTGGACTGGACAACTTCCTGTTTACAGTAAATGATGGCAGACATGAGGGATTCCTCATCAATGGAACACTTCAGGCGAATCCAGCCATGTCGAGTATTTTCATCAAACCTCTCATCGAGGATGCCCCCAAACTTGTCACAAAGAAACACCCAAACAACCTGGAATATTTTGGAGGACAGAGGTATGGCTATGTCCTGACTAACCGTGTGCTGCGAGTGGTGGACAGCGACACCGAGAGCTCGGGCCTGGTGTACGTCATGTTACAGAAACCGAAACATGGCCATATTGAAAATACTGCATCCAAACGATTTGTGAGACGTCGATTCACCCAGCAGGATCTTGATGATGAAAGTTTGATGTACATCATCAACAAGGCAGACAAGTCCACCAATGACAGTTTCACGTTCAAGGTGGAGGACAGTCGCGGCAATGCTCTGGAAGACCAGGTGTAAGTGCTGATTTTTAAGTCATCACAAACAAATTAATGCAAATTATTTTTGTGGATCCTGATTTAGATACATCAAATGCCAACATGACTTTGTTTTAAACTATATGTTCTCACTAGATTTGGTCAAGAAAGGTTTATATCCATCAGCAGCTCAAACCTTGTCTACATTTCGTGTTTCGTTTGTATTGCTAGGTTTGAAATGAAGTGGTCTAGGATTGAATTCCTGAAGGAGGATGTTGTGGTTTGCGAGAACGTTGGTACGTTATCCGTGACGTTGGAAAGAACTGGTGCTATCGACCAATCAGCATTCATCGGAATCAATGTCCGCCAAATGTCGGCACGGAGGGACGATGACTTCTCGCCAAGTTCAGCAAAACAGGTTCAGTTTGACCCTGGTGAGTGATTAATAGGCAATAAATACTATTACAATTGTGACGTTTCGTTTGTTACTGTTTCTTTCAAATACAATATACACGAAATTATGTTATAACCCCAAAGTGAATACAAGCTAAACGTTCAAACGTGTATGCTTTGAAATATAAGATGTTCTATTAAATACGATATACATGTATTGTATTATATTGTGATGAAAGATCGTATGCCATGAGGAACTCAGCAGCTGAAGTAACAGGTGTTTGTTTGCCCAGGTAAATCTCAGGCTACATGGGACATCACAATCAAAGATGACGGCATTGAGGAGAACAACGAGAAACTTCGACTCATCCTCACCGACCCCATCAACGCCGTCATCGGAGACCAACGTAAACTACGACTACGGATCATCAACGCTGAACATGGTCAGTAAAACTCCTACCTTATTTGAGGACACCTTTTAACTTAGAAGAGAATATTTTGGGCATAAATTGCCTATGGTGTTAAATTGGAATTTGATTTTCCAAAGAAAAGCATTTTGTTGAGGCAATTCCATGATTCCCTCTCTGAACTAAAGATTGCCATTGCTTAGCAGCTCTTCGTGACGTGGGTAAAAATAGATGTTGGTTGTTTTGCATGTGAGGTACAGAGCCTTGTGTGTGTCTGCGTGTGTGTGTTTTGTTGTAGAGGAGCTACAGAGCCTTGTGTGTGTCATGTTGCAGGTGAATGTCCCCAGTACCTTGGAATGGTAAGCAAGAACCGGGGGGAGGACCAGTTAACTATCGAGGAGAACATGTTCGTGCCTTCACGGACCGACGCCAACAAAGACACGATCGTCACAGTGAGTTTATCTTGATATTGTGTAATTGTGAAATACATCCCATCTGTGTGTGGGAGAAAAAAGTGTAGTCCACCCATCTGTGTGTGGGAGGAAGGGGTGTGGTCCACCCATCTGTGTGTGGGAGGAAGGGGTGTGGTCCACCCATCTGTGTGTGGGAGGCAGTGGTGTGGTCCACCCATCTGTGTGTGGGAGGAAGGGGTGTGGTCCACCCATCTGTGTGTGGGGGGAAGGGGTGTGGTCCACCCATCTGTGTGTGGGAGGAAGGGGTGTGGTCCACCCATCTGTGTGTGGGAGGAAGGGGTGTGGTCCACCCATCTGTGTGTGGGAGGAAGTGGTGTGGTCCACCCATCTGTGTGTGGGAGGAAGGGGTGTGGTCCACCCATCTGTGTGTGGGAGGAAGGGGTGTGGTCCACCCATCTGTGTGTGGGAGGAAGGGGTGTGGTCCACCCATCTGTGTGTGGGAGGAAGGGGTGTGGTCCACCCATCTGTGTGTGGGAGGAAGGGGTGTGGTTCCATTCTGTTGATGATTCAGCAGGAAAGTAACTCTTGCGAATCTTGGAATGTTATGTTGATGAAGGTGCAGCTCTAGTGGTTAGGAAAGTACTAGCTATTGTTTCACTTCTAAATGTACGCTTATGCTGTATCAAGAAATGTATATTTCTAAAACGCTGTAACAGTGCTTGGGTAGGTCGGTCCAACACTCAGCTACGACCAATAAGATTCTCTGTAACTATCATTATTATAAATGAATGAAATAAAACACAAATGACACCATGTTGTAAATGTTTCAGTACCACAAAGTGAACAAGCTGGCTCCAGTCAACACGTTCGAGAATGCATTCCTAAACACCGAGCCAAAGACGGTAGTTGGTAAAGAAATAGAGACTCAGCCCAAGCCTGCCTTGAAGAAACGGAAGCAATCGAAGAAAAATCGCAAGAAGAAGAAGAAGAAGAAAAAGGATAAGAAAAATAGAAAGAATAAGAGAAACCAGTCTACTCCGAAATCTCCAAAGAAGGACCCCAGTCCCAGCTCAGCTCCAGTCAAGGTATCTACAGCCATGGTCGACACATGAGACCATCTTCCGCTATACTGTTGCTCACACCCATACCGGGAGATGTTCCATACAGGGATATTCCATACAGGGAGATGTTCCATACAGGGATATTCCATACAGGGAGATGTTCCATACAGGGATATTCCATACAGGAGATATTCCATACAGGGAGATGTTCCATACAGGGAGATGTTCCATACAGGGATATTCCATACAGGGAGATGTTCCATACAGGGATATTCCATACAGGGAGATGTTCCATACAGGGATATTCCATACAGGGAGATATTCCATACAGGGAGATGTTCCATGCGGGCAGATATTCCATACAGGGTGAAATTCCATACAGGGAGATGTTCCTTACAGGGACATGTTCCATACATGGAGATATTCCATACAGGGTGAAATTCCATACAGGGAGATATTCCATGCAGGGAGATATTCCATACAGGGAGATGTTCCATATTGGGAGATATTCCATACAGGGAGATATTCCATACAGGGATATTCCATACAGGGTGATATTCCATACAGGGAGATATTCAATACAGGGATATTCCATACAGGGAGATGTTCCATACAGGGAGATGTTCCATACAGGGAGATATTCCATACAGGGAGATGTTCCATACAGGGAGATGTTCCATACAGGGAGATGTTCCATACAGGGAGATATTCCATACAGGGAGATATTCCATACAGGATATTACATACAGGGTGATATTCCATACAGGGAGATGTTCCATACAGGGAGATGTTCCATACAGGGAGATGTTCCATACAGGGAGATATTCCATACAGGGAGATATTCCATACAGGGTGATATTCCATACAGGGAGATGTTCCATGCGGGCAGATATTACATACAGGGATATTCCATACAGGGAGATATTCCATACAGTGAGATATTCCATACAGGGAGATATTCCATACAGGGAGATATTCCATACAGGGATGTTCCATACAGGGATATTCCATACAGGGAGATATTCCATACAGAGATATTTCATACAGGGAGATGTTCCATACAGAGATATTCCATACAGGGAGATATTCCATACAGAGATATTCCATACAGGGAGATGTTCCATACAGGGAGATGTTCCATACAGGTAGATGTTCCATATTGGGAGATGTTCCATACAAGGAGATGTTCCATACAGGCAGATGTTCCATACAGAGAGATGTATAGAATACTACACGAGGTCTCATTACATACGAATTATACGAAACTTGTGTCCTTCCTATGGTATCTGACCTCTATTCGAAACGAGTGACCTTCCTATGGTATCTGACCTCTATATATTTTTGAAATAAAACTCATTCCGAGTATGTACTACAATGTTTATTAATGCAAACTTGTTCTCGTCACTTTATGGCTGGAATAATGCCGATGTGACGCTAAACCCAATTCAACTCAACTCAACTCTATACGAAACGAGTGACCTTTCTATGGTATTTGACCGAGCGAAAGCGAGGTCAGAAACCATGGGAAGGTCACGATTTTCGTATTATTCATATGTAATGAGACCGAGTGTGGTATTTTATGTATAACCCACGTCTTACATGCATTAAATTGAGAAAATAGCGTATTTTTGTTATTGTCATGGTTTCAAACCGAAACCGGTTTCATAAAGACGTTGCGGCCAGCCAGCATACCTCTGCCACAGGCCAGAAAGATGTTACGATTCGTCACATCTTGCACAGACCATTAATATCATGTACATATTTCTTAACTCTTATTTTTGACGAGTCTACACATCTAATTAAACATCTTTGATAGAATGGTTTCGTTCCAAAGAGAAAAAAATCCTAAAACATGTAACACTATTTCGATTTGCTTAGCGATCCTTTGTTTACATAGGTTGTACGGCTCCACGTGCTGTCATCGAAGCCGACGGAGAGCAAACGATGCAGCCAGTTAGATATCTAAATATGTACTGTCATATCTATAGGTACCGTGCCAGAACTATAAGGGGCCGTTCATAATTTATGGCCAGATTTGTATTGTATTAAATAAATTTACGTACAAAATTGCTGCACACCCACCCACCCCCACTGCAGTCCATGTGTACAAAATTTATGTCCTCCCCAGAACAAAATAGGTGCCCCCTTAAAATAATCACACACATACGCACGCACGCCCCTCCTCTCTCTCTCTCTCACACACACACACACACACACACGCACACGCACATAGCCATAAATTATGACCCCTAACCAATCTGTACCAACTAGTCACATGTTATAATATCATGTAATATCATTTTTTCAGAATATAAAGAAGTGCACGGCTTCCACAAAGGATTTGCTGACCTTCGACAACTTCAAACAGCAGCTCCTCAAGTGTAACGGCAAGGAATGGCAGGTGTGGACGTCCGCCTCCAACAGTGACGAGCGGCCGCGCAGCAGTCTGTGTCAAGCAGGTCAGTCATGTGACGTAGTGAGCAATGGACCACGAGATTACATAAAGTAGGCCAGTCATGTAAGATGCAGATGGATCACAGAATCCATGTGTCGAGTTGATTGATTAGTCACCCGATAACCACAGGAAGAATGTATAAAGTAGGTCAGTCACTATCAGCGTTCAGGTGGATCACAGGATGAATGTATAAAGTAGGTCAGTCACTATCATCGTTCAGATGGATCACAGGATGAATGTAGAAAGTAGGTCAGTCAATTCAATTCAATTTCTTTATTGTATGAAAGGCCATAGGCCCATATACAAAAGAGATACATCTTGACAATGGTATATATAATCAACTTTCTAACTAATCAATTCTTTTCTTAGCAAAAATGCATTGTAGATAAATAGAGCAACTTTGTGTTGTTTTGGAGGTTCTTTGCTGGAAAGTAAGGAAGACAATAGATAAACGTTGATTTGAGATAAAGACAGTTGTGGTAGATACATATTTCTTAGATTTATTTCTCAGTCACTATCAGCGTTCAGATGGATCACAGGATGAATGTATAAAGTAGATCAGTCACTATAAGCGTTCAGATGGATCACAGGATGAATGTATAAAGTAGGTCAGTCACTAAGCGTTCAGATGGATCACAGGATGAATGTATAAAGTAGGTCAGTCACTAAGCGTTCAGATGGATCACAGGATGAATGTATAAAGTAGGTCAGTCACTATAAGCGTTCATATGGATCACTGGATTGATGTTTATTGACTTTGGTACTGCTTTGTTATGATTGGTTAATTTCTTTTCAAAATATACAATTTTTCCGTTCGGATGTATCACAGGATGAATGTATAAAGTAGGTCAGTCACTGAGCGTTCAGATGGATCACAGGATGAATGTATAAAGTAGGTCAGTCACTAAGCGTTCAGATGGATCACAGGATGAATGTATAAAGTAGGTCAGTCACTATAAGCGTTCATATGGATCACTGGATTGATGTTTATCCTGACTCATGCTTAATTCCTTGTCTTCTTCTTCTTGCGAACTATAGTTGAACACTTGAATCCCCTTTTGAAGCTCTCTCAAAAAAGTGGACGTTAAATCACTCACCCCAGTTGCCTCCCTTGTGCCCATATTTTGGCGCGAAAAAGGTGACATGATCGGCCATGCTTGTCACTCTCTCCTTCTTCGCCCTAGTGGACGGTTGTGAGAGCGCCTGGGTCCCCTATACGGCATGTGTCCTTTGAATTATAGGCTTTTATACTAAATTAGGCTGTATAAGGGCTTTAGCAAGGATGTACCAGCAATATGGTTTGAAATTTATTCTAACTTTGTCCGTTTTTCACGTTGTTGACAACATATTTCAACTTGTTTACATTTCATGAAGACTTGCATTTCTTGCAGGTTTCGGTTGTCAGCTGCTGATCCGCATTCTTTATGTCCTAACTGCACTTCTATATGTTCTTCCAGCCTCCGCTGTAAACTTTGTCAGCATTTATCACAAATTGAATTTTGTACTCCAAAACTTTGCGTTCAATATTTCTTTACCAAACTTGACACATACATAGATCTGCGCATGGTGTACTGGTGCTGTTTGGTAGTTTTGGAATTTGAATAAAAACATTTTGGCGTTTCCATGGCAAATGCAAGTTCGGACTTAGCCTGAAATTGGTGGTAGTGCTCCTTTCCGGAGCAGAACTCTAAAACCGTTCTCTATTTCTTCACCAAACTTGGCACATAGATAGATCAGGTGGTGTACTGGTGCCTTTGGTAGTTTGGGAATTCCTGAATAAAATATTTTTGCATTTCCATGGCACCATGGCAAACAAATTTGATTTAGCCTGAAATTGGTGGTTGTGCTCTTTCCCGAGGTGAACTCTAAAACCGTTCACTATTTCTTCACTAAACTTTGGCACATAGATTGGTCTGGTGGTGTACTGGTGCCTTTGGTAGTTTTGAATTCTGAATAAAATATTTTTGGCGTTTCCATGGCAACAAGCCAAACTTAGGCCTGAAATTGGTGGTAGTGCTTTATTTATATTCTGTTCATAGACGTGCCAAGGACAAGTTGAGGCGGCAATTACAAGTCATGTCTCAACAGGGTGAATGCGTTAATAACCGTGGGTTGTTGTCTGTCGAGGTACATCATTCCAGTGTGCTGCCGGTGACGTCTGCAGAGCAGAGAAATGAGGGTTCAGCCTTAGAGAAGACCAGGACTCAACAATCCTCGTCGCAGTCCAAGAAGACCAGGATGCCGTCTGCTGTGAAGACTAAGCCGTCTTCAGACAAGTCTACAGTCAAGTCGTCTATTGGGGCAGCAAAAGAGGTTGCGGTCCTTCGCCGCAGATATCAACCCATCGGACGAAGCAGACGTTTATGATAAGCCGCCGATCCTCATCCCTGAAGTACTGGCGAGAAAGAAGACGAGATCTTCTTCTACACTGACGTCTGCAATATAACGAAGCAAACAGACGGCCTATCTGCGCAGACTGCAACTACCAGAGAGGACAGGCAGTCCTTAGATGACACCTCAGCACTGTCAGATGTGGCGTCATCTGTACAACAATAGCAGTTATCAGCGCAGACCTTCAACCCGTGCATCTTTATGCAGCAGTTTACCCAGCAGATGATGGACCTGATGGAACGTAGGTTCGCTCAGGAGAAGACTGCAGAGAAGCAGACGAGTCTGCAAGAAGGATGAACATCATCTACACCTCAGCCGGATGAAGAATGCAACCAATGTGAAGGAAAGTTCGTGAAGGGAACGCCCAGGATGACAGCAACGCTCGTGACGAATCTCGCGAAGGCATTCGCAGAAGGACCACTGGTGAAGACACTCATGGAAACAACAACCGAGACAACACCTGCGATGACATTCGCGAAGGAAGCAACAATTATGAAGGAACTCCTGCTACAGACGAGGACTCCGACAATCACCAGAGGTCTACGCGTACACCACACAGAAGAAATTCTATGCCTTCATGAAGGCATACAACTTAGAGAGACAGGTCACTGTCGCACAGATCCTCGGCAAGGTCTTCATGGTCGTCACCACGCAGATACAGATCACCTTGTACATCTCCAATAAGGCACTCACGAGTGCCTTCGCGCAGGCTTACACATAGATCAGGACCAACAGCAACGATCTTCGGGGATGAGACACATCGAAACCGGAAGATGATGGAGGAGTTATCTTCTCCGATACAGAGATCAAATCATGGATGGCTAATGGTCTGGAGCTTGCATCACCATCTAAAGAGAATAATGAAGCTTACACGTACATGTCTAACGACGATTTTGTCACGCTAACGCTGCCACCCATGGATCCGGTACTGGACGTCCCAGACAACCTCAGCTCAGCCTTCACGAAGGCCATGGTATCTCAAGCACTACTCTCTCCGTTACCACTACGAGAGTGGCAGAGTCTACTCGGTCTCCTCATGTCGGCGCAAGACACGCAGAGGCAGTCTGGATCCATTTGTCCTACCAAACGAACTGAAACCATACCTATTATGGTGGACACAGAAGTCGAATGTCTGCGCAGGAACCTACTTAGCAGAGCCGGGATCCAACACTCATCTCTACACAGATGCGTACCACCAAGGATGGGGAGCTCACTTAAACAACAAAGTGGCATCGGGAGAGTGGTCGAATCAGGAGCAAAGCTACACATCCAACATGCTAGAGTTGAAAGCAGTTATAAACGCCTTACTACACTGGTCCAGCATACTAAGGAACGCTCAACTGATGATCCATACGGACAACTCCACAGTGGCGTTCTACATCAACAAACAAGGGTCAACAAGGTCAAGGACCATGTTGGACCTCAGCTTTCAACTACTCAGCATAGTAGACAACCTGAACATCGACATAAAAGCGTCACACATTCCCGGAGCCAGAAATGAGATAGCAGACTCCCTATCCCGTCCTATGAATCCGTCACCGACGGAGTGGATGTTACATCCAGAGGCATTCAAGGACATCATTCGGACTGTAGGATCTCCACTGGTAGATTTGTTCGCAACCAAGTTCAACAAACAACTACCAACATTCGTCTCTCCAGTCCCAGATCCTCAAGCCTTGAGCATATCGTGGGAAGGACTAAACGCGTACGCGTTTCCTCCACCGTCACTAATACCGAAGGTATTACAGAAAATCAAAATGACGAACAAGTTACAACTGATTTTGGTCGCGCCTTACTGGCCAGCGAGAGAGTGGTTCCCCAACCTCATACAAGAAATAGGAAATCCAATCCTACAACTTCCAAAGTGGCCAAATCTACTGATTCATCCACACACCAAGTAAGCACACAGAAACCCAACTATGTTTCAACTACACGCATGGAGCGTATCACGACTTGCTTGAGGAAAAGAGGATATTCCACCAGAGCGGCCAAAGCAGTAACTTTAGCCTTACGTAGATCAACCCGTAACTTGTATGATGACAAGTGGCAAAGTTTTGAGAAATACGCTCGGAATAAAGGCTTCACTGCAATGGAAGCAACACATCCTCAAGTGGCGGAATATCTTTGTCATCTTAGACAGACAAAACGATTGAAGGGATCTACACTCTCTACATACCTAGTGGCCTTGAGCTCAGTTATCACGATGAAAACGGGTATAAAACTGACCAAAGTACCAGAGATACTGGCACTACTACGCTCATTCAAGTTGGAAGACCAACAAAGAAAATTCAAGGCACCCGCTTGGGATCTCAATGTGGTTCTACAACATCTTACCAGTGAAGATTACGAACCACTAGAAAGGACATCATATGAGAATTTAACTCATAAAACACTGTTCTTCGTAGCCTTAGCTACAGCGGCAAGGATGTCAGAAATTCATGCTCTAGACTTCGAACGAACAAGATTTGACACGCATCGTGACACAGTGCATCTGGGACTAAGATGGGATTTTATAGCAAAGAATCAACTGCCCGGTCAACCAGACAGACAATGCCATATCCCAGCACTTTCGTCGATATTAGGACCACAGGATACGCAATATCGATCCTTATGTCCAGTCAGAGCATTGAAATATATCTACAGAGATCTAAATTGAGGAGACGAAAATTCAAGCGCCTTTTCATCCCTTTATCTACGGAGACACCTACAGAAGTCTCACGTACGACTATATCAATATGGATGAGAGCCGTCATATTGAAAGCCTATAAAGCAGCAGGACTTGATCCTCCACGAGCCTCCAATCCTCATGATGTCAGAGCACTGGCATCCACACTAGCTCTGCACGGAAACTGATCCATATCAACAATAATGGAGGGCTGCTTTTGGAGATCGGAGACGGTGTTTGCCAACCACTACCTCAGAGACATGGCTACAGAGGACGTGTCCGGCATACACCTGTTTGGGCCCCTTGTTGTAGCACAACAATTGACGGTACCTCAACGACGCTGGGATTATCTCACCCCTTTGTCACGTGACTTGCAAAAGCCAACACTCAGCAGAGTACAGTTTTAAAGTCCATGCGCACGTCTAGGACAGACTAGCATGATTGATGGACCCTGTACTTGTAAGGACTTACTTGTACATGAAGTAGGGTCACTTCTCCACTTGATGCAAGCATCAAGAGATGGAGTTGTATAAATCCACACAGAATTTCAGGAGAAGATTTCCAGGATAAATCTGACAAGTTGTGGTCCCCCACACTCATCAGAGGAAGCTGGAAGAAAGGGCAAATGCCATTAGAAGTTCCCAAGGGGGTATAAAGACAGCAGAGAATCCAGAGTGGCTTGACCCACCACCGTTTCCGTCGGATTCTACAAGCAATTAAGCATGAGTCAGGATAAGGAAAAATATGTAATTTTCTGACTAAAATTGATATTTTATACTTATCCTGACTCATGAGGTTAGCCCTCCCAACCTCCTCTCATGGCACTCTGGATTTCCCTGCAAATCCAAGTGTTGGGCTCGAACTAACGGAGAGAGTAACAAGCATGGCCGATCATGTGACCTTTTTCGCGCCAAAATATGGGCACAAGGGAGGCAACTGGGGTGAGTGATTTTAAGTCCACTTTTTGGAAGGGAGCTTCAAAAGGGGATTCAAGTGTTCCACTATAGTTCGCAAGAAGAAGAAGACAAGCAATTAAGCATGAGTCAGGATAAGTATAAAATATCAATTTTAGTCAGAAAATTACATTTTTAATTTAACATAATTTCACTTACCAATCTAAGATTATGTGATGTTAAACGATTGTGTCATTTCATTTATCATATCCTGGTTCCTGGCAGTTTCTTCGTGTGCTATGGCCAACAGGTATTTTGTACATGAAGAATGATCTGTTGTTTCAGGCTGGAGTGAGTACGAGGGGCGATGTTACAAGTTCATGAACGACAAGTTGCCGTGGGACGAGGCTGAGCAGCTGTGTTTCTCGAGCTACCAAGCCCACATGACTAGTGTTCACTCCATGAAGCATCTCAAGTGGCTGTTTGAGCAGGCCGGCAAGAAGTCCTTCTGGATTGGTCAGTTGACACTTTCATATAACAGTTTTCCCTCTGTATCAGCCTGTTCACATTATGATAGAGGCGAGGTCCTTCTCGGTCTATCAATACCCATGCTGATACAGGGATGGTCTTTCTCAATCTATCAATACCCATTCTGTTATAGAGGTTGGTTTAACTCGATCTATCAATACCCATTCTGTTATAGAGGTTGGTTTAACTCATACAGAGGTTGGCCCAACTTGATCTGTCAATACCTGTTCTCATACAGAGGTTGGCCCAACTCGATCTGTCAATACCCGTTCTCATACAGAGATTGGCCCAACTCGATCTATCAATACCCATTCGTATACACAGGTTGGCCCAACTCGATCTATCAATACCCATTCTGTTACAGAGGTTGGTTTAACTCGATCTGTCAATACCCGTTCTGTTATAGAGGTTGGCCCAACTCGATCTGTCAATACCCGTTCTTATACAGAGGTTGGCCCAACTCGATCTATCAATACCCATTCGTATACACAGGTTGGCCCAACTCGATCTATCAATACCCATTCTGTTATAGAGGTTGGTTTAACTCGATCTGTCAATACCCATTCGTATACACAGGTTGGCCCAACTCAATCTATCAATACCCATTCTGTTATAGAGGTTGGTTTAACTCGATCTGTCAATACCCATTCTGTTATAGAGGTTGGTTTAACTCGATCTATCAATACCCGTTCTTATACACAGGTTGGCCCAACTCAATCTATCAATACCCATTCTGTTATAGAGGTTGGTTAAACTCGTTCTGTCAATACCCATTCTGTTATAGAGGTTGGTTTAACTCGATCTATCAATACCCATTCTGTTATAGAGGTTGGTTTAACTCGATCTGTCAATACCCATTCGTATACACAGGTTGGCCCAACTCGATCTATCAATACCCATTCTGCGCCAGCAGGAGTTAGTATATATACATGTAGTCAGTGTATACTCATTGTCCCACTCACCTGTTGTTTCAGGCCTGAACGACAAGAGACAGACTGGAGTGTGGAAGTATATTAATGGCGACCCTGTGGGGGTGACAAACTGGAAGAACGGTCGACCCCGAGTCAAGAGGATGTTGCACAAGAAGAACTGTGTTGTGGTCAAGAAACGGATGAAGTGGAGGAACAAGCACTGTGACAAATACAATGCCAGGTTTATCTGTGAACTCAGTGTCAAGGGTCAGCAGGCACGCCAACACAAAAGGTCACGGAAAGGACCCTCCAGGAGACATGTTCGCCGGGATCGAAAAGTTAGGAATGGAGGGGGGTTCTTCTTCGGTTGAAAGTGCAAATATTCGGCCACCAGGCAGCCTGTTAAGCTCAAATATGTATGACTGCCATGAATCAGTTGTAGCCAGTCTGAACCGGCAGTTGGCAGAGTGAACTAGAGATGACCAGTCAGACAGATTAGACTTGTTCAAACAAGATACAACTGGTCGGAACTGTTTTGGTCTGTCGGGAACTGAGAGTTCAAGGCCAGTACTACAGCCCAATGTTAAAATTTTCATACGCTAGTACAATCTCTATTCACGGACCGCCATACCTGCAGAGTGGTTGGCGGAGCAGTGCCGTCAGGGACACCGGAGCCGATGGCAGCGTTATGATGTAATGTGATGGATTCCATCCCTGTATTAATAATAGATGTACATGTATGTAATGAGAGTTAGCACACTGTGACGCTTCCTAGGGTAGGTACACAGCACCAGGCACCAGATCCCCAGATACTCCCCCTTGACCTATATCATATACTTGTCTTTGTACACGCGAAACGTTCCTTTGAAGACGTGTTTCGAAAATGCTGAGAGTTTATCAACCACCACAGGTCCAGTGAAAATTATTTGGGAGTGTTCAGGAACAAGTATTTAGGGGAAAGCATTCTGTAAGGTCTTCATGTAACCGGGGCAGATCGACCAGCCACAATAGAACAAGCCGGTATGTAATCCGGTGCCGTGGGGTCCGTGGCATGTGATCTGCAGCCCATGTTTTACATACGGCAGCAGCTGTTTTGTATGAGAACAAGATGGTTTCACGGCAGTGGTCACATTACCTGCAGCCGCAGGTAGTCATTGGTTTGCTCAGATATCGTATGTAGCGACACTCTGCTGCTGTCCATCTGAACCTAACGAATTAACACAATACAAAGCATAATGAGAAAATAAAGCTCATAGTAGTTTATTGCCATAATCACTAGCTACCACACATCACAGCAGTAGAAACTATAGACGAGCAGAAAAACGTGGACACTGTCTTTCAAAGCTGACAAAATGGCTTCTGGTGAAGTATTAGCGTACACTGTGTGTATTCAGTGCCAGGTCATGTTAACGATAGCCAGTGACACAAACGTTAACAAGTATTTCTCATTACGTAAGAGTGTATTCCGGAAACTAATAGGCTCCTTTCATTAAGACAGAATTCTACATGTCTACATTAACATAACATTTTCGGTGACCTTTTCAATATTTTCTCCTTGGGTACTATAGTTATAGTAGCCTTGATGTTTCATCCGGGAGGTGAATATTGACTGATTGATCATCTGTATCCATAACTGCCACGTAGTATATATGAAGCATAGCCTGTTTCAGTGTTGTCTATTTAAGAACATGTTGTTTGTACCGGGGGTCGCGGGAGTTCACAGTAAATCCACAGATAGTAACATTTAATCTGGTCGGAATAATAGCAAATAAGGAAACTTAAATGATGAGTACTTGGAACTTTGAGAGTTTGCTACTTTTTCATATGTATGAACATATTATTTGCAAAGTGTTTTAGAATAATATGGCTTTACATTTTTCGAGATGTTAAGGGCATATATATGAGTGGCTTACTGTGAACTGAATGCGATAGCTGTTTAGTAAGCAATACATGAGCTATGTGATGACTTGTTTAGATGTAAATATACTGTCCCCACAGACTACCTGTAACTGCTGCTATATATTCTGTATATAGTCCCTCTAGTGCACCCATGTCATACAGCACCTACACCATATACTGAATCATGTCAATGCAATTGAGAATCAAATGTAGAATCTGAATATCCTAATAATTAATGTGTAAAGTTTATATTTCTAACAATGCTAAATCAGTTAATACAATGTAGACAATACTTGGTAAACAATAAATTTGGGTACCTATGGTACGTGCATATCACTGTTTTATAGGATATATACTTCTCATCAATAGTTTAGATATCACCTGTAAATATAGCCACTTACTTCAGGCAACTGTTCTAAACTAAATTTTGTAAAATATTCCATACTGTTTAGGAGTACTGTTTACACATGAACTGATGCATTGTAAAACAAATTCTTAACGTTGAAAAGCTTATTATCACAAGTTCAGGAAATGATGAAAATCAGTGAAAATTGGCGAATTCTTAACAAATATTTACATCATAACGCAGCTGTTCACATGCACGATATCTGCACATGCTTTTCAGCAATTCGATGTATGATCCTCGTGCAATTCTTCTGCATAAACTTTGCAGTTGGTTCGGACGAGAAATCAATCTTCGACGTAACCTTATATAGATACATAACATGCAGTGAGTGTTTTAAGTGAGTCTAAACTTTTGAAGAGAAGTACATTTCTTCCAACATATCAAACAATATATACTCGATTATCAATTTCGGAGGACTTTAGATCTGGTCATTCCTTGGTTTTCTATCATATATACATATATACGAAGTATACACATTGCCATTCGTAGTTTCTACCATTTGAACTAATCACTGATCATTGCAGAGCGTGGAGCAGGGCCGCCATTGCAAGCCTAGTGCTACAGTAAGGGTGAAATCCGGGCCCATTAGGGCATACTAATATAACAAACAGTTTATCAAATAAGGTTGTGTTCAACTTTTATAATTTCTTTTGTACAAATTTGTATATTTGTAGCCATGTTTAGCTGTGTCAGTATTTTTGTCAGTCTCCTGTCTGTCACCTTTCTCTCAATAAAAACATCAAAATTTGTCTCCCTTCTTTCAAGCAACAGTCTGTTCCAAACAGAAATGGAGATCGGTAACAACCAACAATAGGTTCAGTCAGTTGGGGGTGCTCTGGCAGAATAAGACTGACCCTAATTGTCTGTCATTAGTAAACAAACTACATTGGGACTAAGTGATTGTCTGCCTTTTGTTAACAAACTACACTGGACCTACCTGATTGTCTGTCATTAGTTTAACAAACTACACTGGACCTACCCGACTGTCTGTCATTAGTTTAACAAACTACACTGGACCTACCCGACTGTCTGTCATTATTTTAACAAACTACACTGGACCTACCCGACTGTCTGTCATTAGTTTAACAAACTACACTGGACCTACCTGATTGTCTGTCATTAGTGTAACAAACTATACTAGTCTGTTTGACTGGCATTTTAGAAGTTGATGAAATAAAGAAAACTATAATACTTTATAGATAACAACTTCTTTATATCTTATGATGCGACTTTTCGGAATACCTTCTTATGCCGTTACTGGGAAACCAAGGATGCCTCATTCCATCGCCTACAATGAACTCTTGAAAACAAAAGAACAGTGTACTCCAGTCATCATCGCTAATTAATCCCATCTGCTATGTATACCTTGGCCCGCCTCCTCAACATTGGCTTCCTCCCTTTGTTACTGCATCATTACCTATCCCATTGTTATTGTTGTTGTTAATGCCTGTGATGCATTCCCTCATGTTGTCTTACATAATCCATGTTACATGTATATAAGACGGATCTGTGCTGTATTACTCTCGCTTGACAACGGTATAAGAAGCTATTCCAAAACGCCGCATCATAATAAATAAAGAAGTTATTATCCATAAAGTATTATACTTGTCTTTAACCTGCACTGTACCTACCATACTGGTTTAGTTGGCAATCAATCCTTTTTGGTCAGGTATATGACGTAAATGTATATTCTACACGTTGGAGCATCAGTTCTTGTTGCCGAACTGTCGACTGGCTGAGGCTGAGTCAACAATTATATTGTTGCCGAACTGTCGACTGGCTATGGTTAGGTCAGGCAGATTGAGTTAACCTGTATGCAAGCCCACATGGCTACGGTGTCACAACAAACACATTTATCTCCACTGCGAAGGTACATTGACGTCATCTGCAGCTTGTGGTGTGATCATCATGCCGCCTGGGACAATGCTTGTCATGACACAACAAATTCCACATTGCATATTGACTCAAACATTGTAGAAACTCCAGGATTTCCCTCGGTACAAGAGTTTGACAGCCTGAGTGTGGGAGTCTGGAATTACATGACCCACGTCATTTGAAATCAGGTCAAAAACACTGTTCAGTGTATCGGACACTGTTCTACCACCCAGGGTGTGTGAGACACTGTTATACCACCTCAGAGTGTATCGGACCTTGCTCTACCACCTCAGGATGTCGCGTACATTCTTCTACCACCCAGGGTGTGTGAGACACTGTTATACCACCCAGGGTGTATCGGACCTACTTCTACCACCTCAGGATGTGTCGTACATTCTTCTACCACCCAGGGTGTGCGAGACACTGTTCTACCACCTCAGGGTGTATCGTACATTCTTCTACCACCCAGGGTGTATCGGACCTTGCTCCACCACCTCAGGGTGTATCGTACATTCTTCTACCACCCAGGATGTATCGTACATTCTTCTACCAACCAGGATGTATCGTACATTATTCTACCACCCAGGGTGTGCGAGACACTGTTCTATGACCTCAGGGTGTATCGTACATTCTTCTACCACCCAGGGTGTATCGGACCTTGCTCCACCACCTCAGGGTGTATCGTACATTCTTCTACCATCCAGGATGTATCGGACCTTCTTCTACCAACCAGGATGTATCGTACATTCTTCTACCACCCAGGGTGTGCGAGACACTGTTCTACCACCTCAGGGTGTATCGTACATTCTTCTACCACCCAGGGTGTATCGGTTGCTCCACCACCTCAGGGTGTATCGTACATTCTTCTACCACAGGATGTATTCATTTCTACCACCCAGGATGTATCTACCACCCAGGGGTGTATCGGACCTTGCAACAACCACCCTCAGGGTGTATCGTACATTCTTCTACCACCCAGGATGTATCGGACCTTCTTCTACCAACCAGGATGTATCGTACATTATTCTACCACCCAGGGTGTGCGAGACACTGTTCTATGACCTCAGGGTGTATCGTACATTCTTCTACCAACCAGGATGTATCGTACAATCCTCTACCACCCAGGGTGTTTCGGACCTTCTTCTACGACCTCAGGGTGTATCGGACCTTCTTCTACCACCCAGGGTGTATCGGACCTTCTTCTACCACCCAGGGTGTATCGGACCTTCTTCTACCAGCCAGGGTGCATACGATGTATTGTACATTCTTCTACCACCCAGGGAGTGTGTGAGACACTGTTTCAGCCCTGTGGTGTATCGGACACTGTTCTAGCACCACGGAGTGTATCGGACACTGTTCTACCTCTCCAGGGTGTATCAGACACTGTTCTACCACTAAGGGTGTATCGGACACTGTTGTACCTCCCCAGGGTGTATCGGACACTGTTCTACCACCCCGAGGTGTATCGGACACTGTTCTACCTCCCCAGGGTGTATCGGACACTGTGTTACCTCCCCAGGGTGTATCGGACACTGTTCTACCACTTAGGGTGTATCAGACACTGTTGTACCTCCCCAGGGTGTATTGGACACTATTCTATCTCCCCAGGTTGTATCGGACACTGTTCTACCCCTGAGAGTGTATCGGACACTGTTCTACCCCGAGAGAGTATCGGACACTGTTCTACCCCTGAGAGTGTATCGGACACTGTTCTACCCCTGAGAGTGTATCGGACACTGTTGTACCCCGAGAGTGTATCGGACAGTTCTACCACCCAGAGGTATATCGGACACTGTTCCACCCCCGGGGTGTATCGGACGCTGTTCTACCTCCCCAGGGTGTATCGGACACTGTTCTACCACTTAGGGTGTATCAGACACTGTTGTACCTCCCCAGGGTGTATTGGACACTGTTCTATCTCCCCAGGTGGTATCGGACACTGTTCTACCCCCGAGAGTGTATCGGACACTGTTCTACCCCGAGAGTGTATCAGACACTGTTCTACCCCGAGAGTGTATCGGACAGTTCTACCACCCCGAGGTATATCGGACACTGTTCTACCACTTAGGGTGTATCGGACGCTGTTCTACCTCCCCAGGGTGTATCGGACACTGTTGTACCACCCCGGGTTGTATCGGACACTGTTGTACCTACCCAGGGTGTATCGGACACTGTTCTACCACCCCGGGGTGTATCGGACACTGTTCCACCTCCCCAGGGTATATCGGACACTGTTTTACCAGTTAGGGTGTATCAGACACTGTTGTACCTCCCCAGGATGTATTGGAGACTGTTGTACCTCCCCAGGGTGTATCGGACACTGTTTTACCAGTTAGGGTGTATCAGACACTGTTGTACCTCCCCAGGATGTATTGGAGACTGCTCTACCTCCCCAGGGTGTATCGGACACTGTTCTACCACTTAGGGTGTATCAGACACTGTTGTACCTCCCCAGGGTGTATTGGACACTATTCTATCTCCCCAGGTTGTATCGGACACTGTTCTACCCCTGAGAGTGTATCGGACACTGTTCTACCCCGAGAGTGTATCGGACACTGTTCTACCCCTGAGAGTGTATCGGACACTGTTCTACCCCTGAGAGTGTATCGGACACTGTTCTACCCCGAGAGTGTATCGGACAGTTCTACCACCCAGAGGTATATCGGACACTGTTCCACCCCCGGGGTGTATCGGACGCTGTTCTACCTCCCCAGGGTGTATCGGACACTGTTCTACCACTTAGGGTGTATCAGACACTGTTGTACCTCCCAGGGTGTATTGGACACTGTTCTATCTCCCCAGGTGGTATCGGACACTGTTCTACCCCCGAGAGTGTATCGGACACTGTTCTACCCCGAGAGTGTATCAGACACTGTTCTACCCCGAGAGTGTATCGGACAGTTCTACCAACCCGAGGTATATCGGACACTGTTCTACCACTTAGGGTGTATCGGACGCTGTTCTACCTCCACAGGGTGTATCGGACACTGTTGTACCACCCCGGGGTGTATCGGACACTGTTGTACCTACCCAGGGTGTATCGGACACTGTTCTACCACCCCGGGGTGTATCGGACACTGTTCCACCTCCCCAGGGTATATCGGACACTGTTTTACCAGTTAGGGTGTATCAGACACTGTTGTACCTCCCCAGGATGTATTGGAGACTGTTGTACCTCCCCAGGGTGTATCGGACACTGTTTTACCAGTTAGGGTGTATCAGACACTGTTGTACCTCCCCAGGATGTATTGGAGACTGCTCTACCTCCCCAGGGTGTATCGGACACTGTTTTACCAGTTAGGGTGTATCAGACACTGTTGTACCTCCCCAGGATGTATTGGAGACTGTTGTACCTCCCCAGGGTGTATCGGACACTGTTCTACCTCCCCAGCGTGTTTCGGACGCTGTTCTACCTCCCCAGGGTGTACCGGACACTGTTCTACCAGTTAGGGTGTGTCAGACACTGTTGTACCTCCCCAGGGTGTATCGGACACTGTTCTACCAGTTAGGGTGTATCAGACACTGTTGTACCTCCCCAGGGTGTATTGGACACTGTTCTATCTCCCCAGGTTGTATCGGACACTGTTCTACCCCGAGAGTGTATCGGACACTGTTCTACCCCTAGTGTATCGGACACTGTTCTACCACTTAGGGTGTATCAGACACTGTTGTACCTCCCCAGGGCGTATCGGACACTGTTCTACCCCGAGAGTGTATCGGACACTGTTCTACCCCTGAGAGTGTATCGGACACTGTTCTACCCCTGAGAGTATATCGGACACTGTTCTACCCTGAGAGTGTATCGGACAGTTCTACCACCCAGAGGTATATCGGACACTGTTCCACCCCGGGGTGTATCGGACGCTGTTCTACCTC